AAACCCCCAAAACCCCAAAACCCCAAAACCCCATTGCATTAAATAGTAACTAAATTCCACAATGATTGTTTTTAAATTAAAAAAATATTAGATTTAAGTTATAGAAAGTGATGAGATAATAAAATATAAATTATGACATCAATAAATCAAGGGAATCTTCTAAAAAAGTCACATTTGAATGATCTTAATTAGACCAGCACCTTAAAATTCAGTCTTGAAGGCAAGGCTAAGAATCTAACAAGTAAAAACCTTACTAATTAACCTCAAAGTATCAAGCAGAAAAATATAAAGAATATGTGAGCAGCTAGAATGAACTTGCTATAGTCAAATTTAGGATCTTAGCAGCGACTTTAGAAGGCTGTTATTGCTTACTAGAAATTTCATACAATAGATCTCAATAAAAACATTAATTTCTGAGCTACCAAATACAATAACAAATTCTTAAATAAATCTATAGATCCCTCAGGTAGTCATCAACCTATACAAGTTTTGAAAAATGAATAGCTTAAAATGCGGTTGAGTGTTGAAAAACTTAATCATGAAAACAATCTCCTTACTCCTATAAAAATCACAAAATTTACTCCCAAATCTATTTTGAGATTCGATGATAATTCAGCAGAGATTAAGGATCAATCTTAAGAGGTAAGAGTCATTGATTAGCTCTAAAACTCAAACCTAGGCTTAATTTTTAAGAAAAATGAACGAAGTTAGCAAGACTTAAACAGAATCCATATGAATATGACTTAGAGCAAGTTTTCTTGGAATGAATTTCAAATGAAATAATCTCTTAAAAGCTTAGAGAATAGGCTTAAGAATGTAGAATAGAGCAATATATCACTACTTGAATAGCAAAAATACTAGTTCTAGGAATAAAATTTCCAGATGTAAAAGACAATCTACAGTCCAAAACAGATAAACTCCAGGAACACTTAATTCAATCAAAATGCAAGGCTAACTTAATCACTAGTGAATCCATTTATCAACTTTAAATAATAAACAGAAAATAGTTATACTAATATGAACGGCTAAAGTATTGAACTCTGATCATATTCTTAACTTACTAAAAGTCCATATAACTAAAAATACATTAAGTATGACAATCAAATTCGTAAGCAAGAGTTAGTAAGCAATGGAAAGAAGGTTCTCAGAGATATCAACAATAAACCTCCCTTTCAATAACTTATCGAGTCTTATGAGTAATAGTATCATGAGGAGTTATTAAAAAGAAATAATCAAGAAATCTAGTAATAGGCTATGAAGAATATTAACATTCACTCAAGCAAAGAGTTTAATCCAAATAGGACAGCTTCAGTTTTAGGTGACTACAGTCAGCAGCCATCTAAATTATCTCCATTCTTCAACATATAATTACCTGAAATGAATAAATTGATAGTTAAAAGTTCAGATAAAGATATTAATGCTATTGTGGAATTCAATAGAACAAGGAGAAATTTCATGAATTAAACTATCACTTTTAACTAAACAATGAATTTAAATACTGGTTCAAGATATAAAAGTAATTTCAGCCTTAAAAGGCCTTATAATAATAGAAAAGAATACTAAAGTAAGGAAGTTATTTCAAATTTAGAGACAATTCATAAGAATCATGGGTTGCAAGTTACGAAGATAAAATAAACCCAGCTTTTTCCTGATGTAGATTTAGAATCAGAAGTATTTTACTAACTTCATTAAAAAAAGAAAAATACTAAAGCTAAAGATGCAGATACTAATACCATAAAGCCTTGGTAAAAGAAGACATCTATTGCAACTAGCGCATTTGACATCAATACGAGTCAAGCTAATGAGAATACTGGTAATGATTACGGAATAGAGAGTATCATGAAAATGAGGATTAATAATGCCAAAATTAATAACACAATAATAGGAATGAGAAATGTATACGGAATGATGAGTAGTAGTGATGATGAGGATGAAGAAAATATTATTGTTGACGGTGTTCAGATGAAAAATACCTATTAAGACTGAACATCTCTAAAATTTTTCGTTACCTCCAACAAGTATAAATATATAGTTCGAAAGTGCACTTAAATATTTAATAATAACTTTAATTTCATAAAATAAATATTCTTAACTCACACATCACAATTTTTAAATACAATTTGAGGAGATAAAGTTTCAGGATTTGTTACTTGGAACCTTAAATGAGACTCTTTAATTAGCTTTTTATTTAAATTCATCTGAATTCGTGATTGAACTCAACCGCTTTTTGAATGAGGCCCCACCAATTATTGTAGGTGGGTTATACACTTCTGTTTATCTCTTTTGTTAATGCTATGAATTATTTGCCTTATTTTAGTCCTAAAATAGATTTCCTCTGAATCCTTGAAAAGGCTATTTCTATTCTTGGCCGATATTCCCACCTTATCTGAATTCTGATCTTTGCTGCTAATACATAAACTCTGTGTTTTTCCCAGTTGTGTTACTTCTTTTTTAAGGTGAAAAGTAATCATCATCAGCCTATTCATCCTCCTTACCAATAATTTAGATGTATTTATTCTTTGGTAAAAGCTACTCCAACGAATCTTATAGCTGATCATTAAATAACTCATACCTATCTCTGCGATCTTCAGTCCAAAAATGAGAAGATTTGCGCAAATAATGAGTAGTCTAACTAAACCTTTTAGTTCTATATATTTTATAGGTAACATGCAAGAGTAATATTAAAGATACTACGATAGCATTGAAGCCAAAATGATATATCTTCTTGAAATCGAAGACTTCATCATCTGAATTTGCTGTACGATTAAGCATAGTATTATTTTCAATTGTAGAATTGTTATCTATAGCACTTATATTTGAACTTGAACCATTTTAATTTGGATCTATTTCACCTTGTAGAAAGATTTACTCATTTGCTAGAATTCCGTCTTTACAGTCTCCATCGATGCTACAAATATTTTATTCAGTATCAAACTATTTCAAGTTTATAATTTGGAGACTATTAAAATTATAGATATCCTTGGAAAGCACTGTCCCCTCTATTTTTAAAGTCATCTAATTCACAAAGCATAAGTATTAGCCTTGATGGCAAGATTATACCTTTATCAAGTCATTAGGATAATTAGTCTTCACTGATTTCCTTGGCAAGCTAAGCATTTTGTAATTCATCAGATTCTCAAAGTTAATTTGGCAATCGTTTATCTTAAATACTATGAAGTAGTCATCAGCATTGTTTATAAGAATAACCTCATCAGAACCTTTGACAATGAAAAGTTAATCAATGTTGTAAAATTGTTCTTCACAAATATGATACTCATATTAGCTTCTCTCTGTTTCTCTTATGTCCTAATTCTATAACTTTATCAATTCATAGCTTATGTCAAGCAATTTGATACAATAAAGAGTGTTGTATACCAGTATATTTCATTATTAACTGTTGCTGTTACTAACTTTCGTATCCTAGCATTAAGCAATCCCGTAATTTTTAGCTCTATCACTAAGTATTGACTGCTTTTTAGGTTATCTTTATTTTTTAATTGCTTAATCTTTTGCTTAGGAAGTTGTTTACTCATCAAAGAAAATATCAAACATGCTTAACTTTTCACCATTTCCAGAATTTAGTGTTTCTCAACTTTAACTTGTTGCTTGATTCTTATTACATAATTATTCTTCCTCACCTTTCAAGTTTGTGATAAAATGATTTATCAGATCAGACACAAATGGATCATTTGACTCTGAAAATGCAGCTTCTAGTATCTAAAATTTCATTAGCATAAACAGCAAAGCCAAAATAAATTTCATTTTAGTTTTATTTTAATAGTCAATTCACTTGATAACTCTTAACGGGGTTTTGGGGTTTTGGGGTTTTGGGG